CGACGCAACGAAACACAGAATTTACGTAGGATTCATGATTTCGGGTAAAACGATTCGATAAGATTACAGAATTTATCACGCGCGACAATAAAAGACTTTTACGTCGCGAATGTCGAACGTCTGCCTTTCCAACAGACCCATTCGATTACTTCTTGTTGGACGACGACACGGGCGAGCTGAGGACGGCGAAGCCGCTGGACAGAGAGGCGCTGGAGAACTCGACGGGCGTGCTCACGCTAATTGTGAAGGCCCGCGAGCTGATCGACGGTATACCCGGGAACGACAAATTGACGGTATCGACGGCCGAGGCGACCGTGACGATTAAGGACGTCAATGACGAGCCGCCCACGTTTAATCGGCGCGAGTACAACATCGAGATCCCGGAGAACGTGCAGGACGGCACGCCATTGCCGCATCTGGACATGACTGTAAAAGATCCGGATGTGGTGAGCACAGGGCCAATTTATTACCCATAGAATGTATCGAATCTGTCCTAACTTTAGCTCTGGAGCCGAAACGCGAGGGAGGTCACCAATGCAAAATTGTATTGAATATTTTTACGTCGACGGCTTTCGGCTCTGAAGCTGAAGTTGAATACGCTTGCCGTAGATGTACCTGTCATACGCGTTCGATTTTTAAATGCAGAGCATTTTTCCGTGCTCTCTCTCTTCTCTCTTCTCTCTCTCTCTCTCTCTCTCTCTCAATTCTTGGAATGAAAATGGGACTGGAGCCCGCAGCATCCCGCATTCGAGCGCAGCCAATAATCCGGCGAATGCCGCCGTCATCGAAAAAATCAAAGGTTAATCCGGCATGCGCGATAAACGCCTTTGTTAATGTACATAACATTTACATTAATGTATTCGGCTTTTTGTAAAGCTCCCGTATGCTCGCGCGTAACAATAGCGTACAGTCGGAAAGGCGTCGGGCGTATACAACTCGGTTATTAAATGTCCGCACATTAATGGCAGTACAAAATGGAACGGCAAGGATAAATAATTCATGATGATTATAAAGCTTCAATTAAATATAATTATTATTTTATATCGCAGAGTCGTATTGATCGTTGGACGCTGCTAAACGTCTTTTCATTGGTTGCGTTTAGCAGAGAAAGCAACTGTTGTAAAATTCTTTAATACGATTGATTTGTATATTTAGATTCAGCGAGGAACTATAATAAGGAAACATTTTAAATTGCAAAAATGATATTGAAAAATATTTCCAGTCGGAAGATCATGTTTGAAATAGGCATTTTAGATGGTCAAATCTTAGGATTCTGTACTCGGCTTACAGGCCGAAACATGTTTGGTCTATTTTAATTTATATATTTCGAGAACATTAAACACAAATTTTTCAAATAAAAATTATAGAATTTGGAGAAGGCCATCAGATGACCTTATCATAAATATGCTTATAAGATCAGGTTGATTTTTTTCTCATAGGCTCAAAGTGGGTCCTGGATCCAAAATCTAAGTAGCTCTTCTGAGGGTCTCTTCAAACCTTACAACTTTTATTTAAAACTTTTTTTTGAAACATGTATTGTTCTCGAGATACTTTGTGCCTAACAAGGGAACTATACGAAGTATTAAATTCTGATTTTAATGAAACTTTGAATTTACATAAAAAGATGAATTAAAAAAATATTAGTTGCGGCGGGAAAAAGGTTCGAAGGAATGAAATCACCCCTTATAGGCAACACGAGTTTTAGCTTTATTCGTTGTATCTTAATTAAAAACTTCGAGAGATCAAAAAATGTTTTATACAAAACTTTTGCAATAAAATTACCTCGTTCAATCACGTCAATAATATTTTTGAAAAATAAAAAAGATTTTTTTATTAAAAATATTATGGACGTAAATGAATAGAGGTAATTTTATTGTAAATCTTTCGTATAAAACATTTTTTGATATCGCGAATAGTTTTAAAACGGAAAAAACTCTCTTAAAATCGCTTTAAGAGAGTTTACCACATAAGGAGTGATTTTACCCAAATCGTTTTTTTACCGCAACGGACATTTTCTACATTCATCTTTTTACATATATCCATATATATATATATATACACAAAGTTTCATTAAAATCAGAATTTATCACTACGTGTGGTTCGGTTGTAAGTTAAAATGGCCAAACATGTTTCGACCAAAGTTGGGTACAGAATCCATAGAATCTCAAGATTTGATCTAGATCTCAAGATCTGAACCTATTTCAAACGCAGTCTTTCTGGTAATGTTAGCTTTCTGTATGACTTTACGTATGAATTTGAAACGTTCCCCTGTAAGGGAAAGACCAATCATATTAAAAGATTTTGCAAAGCTGCTTTTTCTGTTGAACGCAGCTACTGTTCCGCGCGTAACGCGTTTCACCTTGCTCTTTCGATCGCGGGAGATCCTATCCAGCACACATCTCGCAAAGGGGACTAAGCCCATGACATTTTCACTTTAAGGGCTTAAATTCCGTGTTCTCCTTGCGACTGGAGGACATAACGGGTGCGTTCACCGTGGAGCCCGTCTTGGCGACTGGCAGCACGTCCGTGAACATCCGCGTTACAAACGGCTCGCTTGATTACGAAAACCCTAATCAACGGAAATTCATTATCCTGGTAAGTCAGTTGGAGGTATTTACCTCTCTCGCCTTTTTTCAATTAATTTTAAAATAAATTCAATCAATAACTCCTTGAAAAGAAAAATAATTCCTTCTTCGCACTGCGAAAAATTTCTGGTTGAAAATGAACGAACCAGAAGAGTCTGATCATATCAATCAGAATTGTAATTATTTCAACTAGAATTATAATAGATTCAATCAGAATGTTCGTGTCCATTTTCAATCAGAATTTCAATTAATGCAACTAAACTCTTTTTTCCTGCGTAGAAGTGACGTAAAATAAATAGGAATTAATATAAAACATAAAACGTAACGTAATTTGGTGAAAAAATAAAATTCACTTTGTGTTTCGATTGTTAATAATTAATTAATTAATTGTTTCATATTTATTGTTTACGATTTAATGTAATAATCAGAAAGATATCAAATAACGTTTCTCTCTCTCTCTCTCTCTCTCTTTATGAGGCAATTAATTATATAAGCCGATAACGATACGCGGAAAAATTGCGCGGAAAATAAACGTGCGACGTGGTGATTATCGTTATCAGGTCGTTGCCGAGGAAGTCCACACGAACCCGAAACTCTCGTCTACGGCGACGGTAACGATTTCCATCACGGATGCAAACGACAATGCTCCTTCCTTCGGGAGCCCTACGTACACAGCTACGGTGTCCGAGACGGCGGCCCCAGGGAGCCCAATTATAACGATTACGGCGAAGGATCGCGACAGCGGGCGGTAAGGGCTCGTTAAGCTCGCGCTTTGTACCGTGAGACATCAAAGCACGTTCACCCTTCATTTACGTTGCAATTCTCTGTTCCGCAGCTTCGGTACTGCCGGTATAGTCTACCAATTACTCGGCCAGGGCGCGGAGCACTTTGCGATCGACAAGAAAACCGGCACCATCACCGTCGCACCTTGCCCAACGCCCGGCACTTCGCCTTGCCTGGATTACGAGCAACAGACGGAGTACTTTCTCACTTACAAAGTAACCCTCATAATCACGATATTAATAAGCCTGATAATGTGATTGTATTTGAAACAAGCAGAAGTACTGCTCGAATTTCATGGTGGATTCGGTCAAATTTATTCTCTAAAACAGGAAGTTCCATTCATCCAGAATCCAGAATATATATTTTTCAACGTATTCTCGAGACGTATTTATTGTAGGAGGTTTTGTAAACGAGCAAAAACTCAAAGTAGAGATTTTTATAATAATTGAGCAAAGATTCAATAAGCATATTCTTTTAGGCGACAGATGACAATGGGGAAGGGCAGACAACGAGCGTTTCGTTGCGCATCAGTCTGGTAGATGCGAACGACAGTCCGCCGCGTTTTCTACAGGACAAGTATCGTGCGGTAGTGGATGAGGGTGCAGAGAAATTCGAGCCCGAGCTGAAGGTTCAGGCGCGCGACAAGGACAAGACGTCCAAGATCACGTACGCTCTGGTGGGCGGTAACGAACTCGGCTTGTTCGCCGTCGATCCGGATACCGGCGAGATCACCATCAAGAGCCCGGTTGACATGACCAACGCCACCCACGATTGGATCGGTCTAACCATACAGGCGAGCGACGGCATATTCGTCGACTCCGCGCTCGTCAACATCACCGTCCGCGACGTTAACAACAACGCGCCCATGTTCCCGCACGACATATACACGGCCAGCATCGCGGAGATATCGCCGATCGGTAAGTATCCGGATTATCTGGATTACGCTTAACGACGATCGTGCGTGTCCCCGATCGCGCAATTACGAGCGACCTCGAGGGTGTAATCAAGGTCGCCGGATATGGGATATGCCCGCTTGGAATGATGTCCGTTCGCTAAGAGACTTACGTTCTCACTGCGAGACATTTCATTACCATTTACCGAACTAATCTCGGCAATTAAGTTGACTGTGGTGGTTGACTGTATTCGTCTTTTCAGGAACTGTCGTAGAGGAGGTAACCGCGACGGACGCCGACAGCGGAGTTAATGCGGAGTTGGTTTACAGAATACAGAAAGGAGCTTTCGACGATTTCACCATCAACGAAACCACCGGCGTCGTCGCAGTATCCCGAAAATTGGATTACGACGAGAAGAACACGTATCATGTAGAAGTCATAGCGTTCGACAAAGGTAATTTTGTCATCGCGATTGATTGAAAACAATTAAATGGAAAATAATGATAGTGTTGGTGTTAATACACGCTCTGCGCGAAAGCTATATTTTTTACTTTACGAAACGCAATTTAACGTGTCGCGAAAATTATTGCAATTGACTCTACGCTTACTCGAATTTTGCGTTTTATTTTAGGAACACCGAGCCTGACCGGAACGACGACGCTGATGATCGAGGTGGAGAACAGTAATGACAAGGCACCGTATTTTACGCCCGAAACGCAGTTGGCCGAAGTTACAGAGGATACGCCAATCGGCACCGTTTTCACAACATTGAAAGCCACAGATCCGGACAGCACGAATCTCGAAGCTTTGAACTTCGCTATTTCCGAGCCAATCACCGCTATTGACAGAAATGGTCAACGCGTCAACGACAGCAAATCTTTTAAGGTACGAGAAACGTTTCCATTTAACTCTCATTTAGAACAAATCTTTTTGATCCATGTAAATTCACGTTCTATCCACATATATATATATATATATATA